TTGTGAGTGTATGTGTGCATTATCTGTCTTTGTGTATGTGTATGTGTTTACTGTTTGTCTCTGTAAGGGTATATATATATGTATTTATATATATAATTGTATCATGTGTTTGTCTCTGTGTGCGTTGCTTGAGTATGTAGTCGTCTCAAGTTATTGATCAAGCATGGTGAGGTTAGCTCGTGTTTTATCACGCACTTTCTCAACTCAAATGGAAATGTTTCTTGCTCATCCAGCCATAGACAGTGATTTGTTAGCGTGCAAAGAGACATTACATTTACATGAAACGCTTAACATTTTCATGAAAATGTGTGCACTGTATCGGAATCATGGGCACAAGAAAATCAATACGCTGTACAACAATCTTAGGGGGCTCTCATGGTCTAGAGGTTACGGTGCTCGCATCTCATTCAATAGGTCCCTGGCTGGAAACCTGCCAGAGACGGACCATTTTCTTCTCTAAAATTTAGATTCAGTCTTTGATTGATTCGAATATCACTTGGTCTTTTCTGTTTTTAAATTAATAAGATGAATGTTTGGAGTAATTTTCAGAACACAACGTTTTATGCTACTGTTGTACATTGTATTGTAGAGTGCTCAAAGCCTGCGTACTTTAATCGGGTTGAGCGCTCTATAAATGCCATTTATTATCAATATAATAATAATAATAATAATAATAATAATAATAATAATAATAAGAGTAAAAATATTTATTATTATTATTAGGCCTACTATTATCATTATATTTATTATCATTATTATCATTGCTATTATAAATTAATTTCCCCTTTCATCTTTTTTTCTGCTCTTTTATGCATTTGCGAGGGCCCTAACACATTTACCAAAACATACAAACAACTTGAACTTGAAAATTATACTCTTTTGATTTCCGTTTACTAGAGAGCTCAAGTGCTTGTACCAAAACAACTTGGCAGAGAGACGGTTGTCAAGTCATGTGAAGGAGCTTGAGAGACAGTCTTACGCTGGGCGCCTTGAACAAAGACAGCAGCGACGAGAGGTGAGCTTCAAGCAGCTTTGCTTGTGCATTAGGTGGGGGGAGGGGGGGTTGTGTGAGTGCGTGTGTGAGTTTATTATTGCTTCTGAGTGTATGTGTGTGAGTTTGTGTAAGCGCGCGTGTATATTTATAT